TACCTTTTTCTTTATAACATAGATAATATTTCTATTGAATTCTGGTGTGGGTAATTTTATCATACAACCAAAGGAATTTTTTTCATGGATTTTTGAAGGCTGCCTAAGTTACTTATATTGTTTCTAAAACTAGCTTTGACTGTCAGTTTCAAACTTGGTTTGTTTTTAAAAATATGCTGGTCCTAACTCAAGTTCTGCTAGAAGGGGTGTGGCTGTTTCCATTGCTTGGCTACCACTGGGCACGAGTGCTGCGCTGAATTCATAATTTCTCTCTCCTTACTTCCCTGACTAGAAATTGAGAATGATTATGCTTCCAAAATTTCTGTCAACTTACTGAAGGTCTTGAACTGAATTATTCTATCTTTGCTTTCTCTGGCTTTATTTTTAGCCAAAGCTCATGTTGAATTCTCCACAATAATGCAGTGTCCTGAAGCCACTCATCAAATACAACTTGGACAGAAGTACATTGGGGCATCTCTAGTGAAAATTATATTAAAGTATAACAGAAATTGAAGTATGATGAAAATACTTTTAATCAATATATACTAAACCAAACAAGGATGTATGTCAAATGGACTTAACTGAACTTTGGAGGACTACCCTTTGTTCATGGAATATCTTGGAGATAAGTGCTTTGTGACATGCATTTAGGGAAACACTCTCATTCCAGCCTTTTCATTTCTGAGATAAAAAACATTGAGGCCAATAGTGTTTGCATGACTTGCTATGATTATCTAGAGCAGACACTGAGTGCGTCTGGATATTGAACACTCTCCAGTGTCCTGTCTCCTATACTGCATTGTTCCATGTGTTTTGCTCAAGCAGAACCAGCCAGAGACATATTTTGTCTTCCAGTCTGTAGGGAAAAAGTAGTACACACAGCCCATTCTGGAATTGGTTATCTAGACTTAATGCTAGTGGCGACTATGCTGGTATTTCAGTTCCTACTTCTGGGCCCTGGGTAACAACAAGTTACACTCAATGGTCACTGGGCAATATAAAGAGGTACACCTACGAGCTTGAAATACAGTTTCAAAACTGAGGTGTCATAGGCTCACATCATCCAGCCCCTCTGAGCTTGAGTTCTTCATCCACAAGTCGTAGGTAATACAATAGTATAGTGCGTATACTATATATACTATATACAAGCTATAGTGTGTATAACAGTAGACACATCTGAAGAGCTGGCTGGAGAAAGGCACTAAATGAGTGGTTCTTATTCTTTACCCACACCTGAAGGAGACCTAAATATGCTCTGTGTTGTTTGATGTTGGAGCATGGTTCTGCTGTTCACTTTAGCATGTAGTGAAAATTTCCTTCAAATTTTGCTAATGGAATAATTTCCATTTTTTAGAATTTTCTTATTTTTTGCTTTTCACTGTCTTGGCCTCTTGAGACTCCAGTGACTCTTGTACTCATAGCACTCTGTAGTGGCATAGTCTTGTTCTTGACCCACTGACACTTGAATATAAAGCCACTTTCTCCTACCAGTGTTTATAACTAAATGGCAGAGAGGCCTTCATTTCTTCACTGCAATGGTAACAAACTGAAGTGGATAGTATGAAGGTTTCATTACTTTGTATTTAATTTTTCACATTAGCCATTTTTTTTCCTGTTTGCTGCCATGGAGATCCTTAGACATGTTGAAGTTACTGCTCTCTTACATTTCTGCAAGGCATCATGTGGGTATATTTTGGAAAGTCTTGTCTTCTTGCTGCAGAAAAGGTTTCATAGACAACCATAGCACTTTGTAGAGAGACCATCTTCCAAGAGGTCTCTTGAAAGAGGCATTCCCAAATGCCCATAAGTCTTTACTCAGTGGTTACTGCTTGTGGCACATTTTCAAATGGACCTCCCAGTGGCTGCAGCTGTGATTAAAAGCTGTCTGCCCTCTGACTCACTAGGGGTTTGTTCTTTAACCATGTTGTACGCAAGCTCGCGTGCGCACACGTGTGCACATACACACACACACACACACAGACATATGCAGGTGCATGAACACACACACACAAAATCAGTTATGTCATGGAAATTATAAAGTGTTTTGTAAGATGAAAACTCACTTTAATGGCAAGCTGGATTTTCTAAGTTTCAGTCACTGAGAAACACTGGTTGGCAATCTAACCATGTATGAGGTGCATAAAAGTAATTTAGGGAAGAAAAGCTAACAGCCAGTGAGTGTATACCATTGGACAGGACATGTTTTGCACACATGTTTATGTGCTAGTGACTTATCAGCGTCATCTTAGGTCTTCTGTGGGATTTAGGATTAAATTTTGACTCTTCACAACTAAAGCAGGACAATATTCTTTTTTAAGTCTACTCAGATATTCATTGACACACGAATAATCCTGTGTAGTTTACAGGAATGTATTCTCAACAGAAATTCACCAACACCCCTTAAAACATATTAAAATAAGCAGTGCAGCCATAGCGATGGAATGTTTCAAAGGGACAAATCAGCTCTTCCTTTAGATTACAGATTACAGAGTATTCAGCTTTTCAGGAAGCAAAAAAAAAATGTTCTAGAATTAAACCTGGGTTCTTGTATTCTGTGGTGAACACACTATAAATACTATGTGACAATCAGTGTTGTTCCCTTCCCTACTCTGCCCAGACTATTCACTAAATCAGAACAAAACACACACACACACACACACACTCACACACACATATACACACACACTCTCACACACATACACACACAAGCACACACACATATACACATACTCATACATACACACACACACACACACACACACACACACACACACACCGAGTCTTCTATAAATTTACAGGGGAGAATTCCGAGGAGATTTTTAGAATTGCCTGTCTCCTTTCTGTTTTGGCAGCCTCTCTCCATCCCCCAATGCCAAGGGCTCTAAAATCTAGCCCCCAAACCCAGTGTCTGAGATACTAATCTATCACCAGTAAATTTAGATTGACAATACCGTGGGTCGACCACATTGATTACATTGATTCTATTTCAAATATTTACAATATACTGAGACAAGCCTAATCTATTTTCTAAAGAGTTCAAGGTAGGTATCAGAGTTTCAGAGGGGGTAACAATGGAGAAATGTTTGTGGTTGCTATCTACAATAATCTGATGTTGACAGAGAGTAGTATTTTATTTAGTAATTAACAGTGTAAAGGGCCGAGGAGCTGTCATGTTGGTTCTTAGGCTAGGGAATGTGATGAAAGATGATATCTGCGATCGCATCCTTTCCACTTGTTTAGGATTGTCAGGATGAGAAATGTCAGCATTATGAAAGCTCAGCTCTGCTCTTGATATGATAAAACCCTTCAAAAGCCAGCCTTTCTCTCCCTCATCCCCCTCCTTCCTTGCTCTCTCTGCACTTGCTTTTTTATTTATCCTGTTTTGTTAGATGGCAGAAATATAATTCTTTTCTTTCTTCCTATTATAAGCCACCATTTTTGTTTTATTATATGTTTCACAACCCCTAATGCCCCACTGAAAATTACCTTGTTAAATGACAGTGTTTCAAAGCCATGAATCCTTTCCACCATTCCCTCAGAGGTTTGAAACAGTCAACAGACTGTAAAGAATAAATAATAAAAAAGTATTGATTATTTTGATGACTGTGAGATTCAATTAAGTATTAATTTTGCCCTCCAGTGGACCTATCAAGGTATTCAAAAGGGAGGATTCGGCTCAGCTAAATGCGTGCTGAGTGCTTCAGCCTTAAATAGGGAGAAAATGTGTTTACCTACAGTATTTGAAGAAGAAGTGCATTGATGCACAGAGTCCAATATTTAAGTGCTGTGCAAATTAAGCCCTGGTGACAGTGACATTGTTTTCAGTGGTATGAGTATTGACTAAAGAAGTGCATTTGATGACAGCTTAAACTATTTGTATTGATTAACATTTTCATAGATTATCATGTGTCATATCAAATTCACTTTTCAGGCATGAATACATTAAAAAAAAACCCACAGGCATACCACAACCAATGTGATGATGGGCAGGGGAGCATGCCGCCCCACCTGCTCCTGCACGTCACCTGTTTCCTGCTCAGGAACCATTTAGGCATGAACTTGACAATAAATAGCTCCCAGATCACGAAGGAAAAAGGCAGTTTTTGCTTTGCTTTTCTGCTGCATCTGATATCTATGCCCAAGAAATCTTAGTTAGCAAGTGGACTAAAGGCTACATTTGGGTAGCATTCCTCATCCTAGCATGCCCTTCTAAAGGAACTGAAGATAAAGCTGGGCTAAATTATTGGGGAGATAAGTTTGCCTTTTTTTTCTGGAGGTGATTCTTGATTGCCTTTTCTATGCTCTGGGTGTATGATGCTCTAGGTAACTGAATTATTGAAAACACTTTGTAAGTATTTTCCCACTTCCTTAAAAATGTAAAGCAGTTTCTGTATATTTTGTTGTGTATTGTTTGCTTTAAAATGTGCATTTGACTGGGGTCAGCCTCTGTCCCCAGTCTGGGACCCATGGAGGGTAGAAAACTTCTAAGTGTACGCAGAGAATTTACATAAGAAATCTCTCTTTTTCCATTGAAAGCTGGTAGCAGTCTTTTTTCCTTCCCCCTGTCTCTTTTCTCTACTCTTGGGATAGGGTTTAATTGCTTCTCCCCCAGGGAGAAGGCTTCTTAAAATAGTCCCGCTCCCTCCATAGGGTGCCCCTTCTGAAGAGGTGCGTTGCTGGAGTACAAACCAGCACTTTCTTTTTTCCCCTTACTGCATTAAAGACAGAACAAGGTGTAAAAACAACCTTACAAAAGCACATCCCATAATTAAAGCTGTATTGGCTAAGCTGCTTGTAAAGAAGTTTTTTTTTTCTTCCTTCCTTTTCCCTCCGAAGCCTCCTGAATCTCTCACATGCTAGTTGAGCTTTAATAGGGTGGGGAGTAATGGAGAACTCATCGAATCTGTAATAGCTCTTCACTTGACTGCAGCCAGCAATAACAGCAGGAGCAGGCAGAGATAAGAGAGAGGAGAGAGGGAGTGTGTGTGTGTGTGGAAGAGAGAGAGGGAGAGGGAGAGGGAGAGAGGACACGCTCTCTAAAGCTGCCACTTTTTTCCTCCCCTTCGCTCTTTCCCCCCATCCTAGGATCCAATGATAGCTGGACAAGTCAGTAAGCCCTTGCTGTCAGTGCGGAGTGAAATGAATGCGGAGTTGAGAGGTGAGGACAAGGCTGCTACTTCAGACAGCGAGCTGAATGAGCCCCTGCTTGCGCCCGTGGAATCAAATGACAGCGAGGACACTCCCAGCAAGCTCTTCGGTAAGTCTGTCTAGGTATTTCATTTCAGTCCTACCATGTTGTCCGGAAGAGCAATCCAGACACCACCCCAGCCCCCCTTTTCCTCCTGCTTTTCATTCAATTTTTTTTTGTAAGTGCTAAAGAGGAGCTTCGCATCCTAGAGGGGCTAAGGCACCCGAGCCTCTTCAGCTGGAGGGGAGGATGCCCTCCAAACTTTTTCACCAACAAGGAACTTACTTACTGCCCATTTTGACTTGTCAGGTAGTGTTGCCATGCCCAGGTCGGAAATTATTCGAACAAAACGGAAGGAAAGGATGAAAAGAAAGAACGAAATGGTAATAATAATCAGGAAATCAGTTCCATTGCGAGAATTGGTTAACATTTATTGAATAAATATCGACTCGGTTTCGGGTTGCTTTGCAGGCTTTTGTTAAGGGGAAGGAGAGTAAAGAGTTATTATCTGTAGTCAAAAGATGAGAGAGGAGAACTGAAAATGTCAATACAAATTGCTCTGTGCCAGGTAAACAAAGGTGGCTACAGGCATGGCTCTTAGAAACACATTTTGTCCTCATCATCTGAGTGAGCATTTCTTCTTTTAAAAGGGTTGAGGGAACACAACAGTCCCCTACCCTTCTCCCTAGCCCGCTCCCTTTAACATATTTTAGCCTCATACTAACCATGGCGACAGCCCAGGACCTTTTAGGAATCTGTTTCATAAACAAAATGAGAACAAACAGAGTGCCACTTCAGCAGAGACATCTGTCATTCAAATAGATGACAGTCTGTAAGCCAACTCCACCAACTGTGATCTCTAATCAGAAAGGGAACGGGCTGCTGAGGCACGTGCCGGAGTGATGGATGCCGTGAGACATCTCTGCTGCGGAAGTACTTTATGCTTCTGAGTGACATTAGGTTTTCAGAACAGTACTCTCTGACACACTTGCTCTTAATTATTTTCAAGTGCGTCTGTCTACACATCTGTAAACAACTAACGTCGTGTAAATAGGCAGAGAATCACTTGTTCTCAGATTTAAAAAGTCCTAAGTCTGAAGTTTAGAGTCAAACAATATCAGCGCATAAAATACTTGGTGAAGAATACTGATTTAGTGTCAAAATAGACTTTATTTATTTATTTGTTTGTTTATTTTGGTAGAGAACAGACAGGGCTTCCTTGGCAGGTAGGTCAGCAGCAGCTTTTAGCTGCTCTCTTCTTCTTAGAAATATCCAGGCAAACAGCAGAAGGAAACCCCAGAGAAACTTTGCTTTGGATTTTTTCTTTTGATCAAATACTGATTTTTATGTAAAAACACAACTGATTCCAGTTTTCAGAATCTGATGGTTTCTTTTTTAGCTCAAAAGGCTACTGTGTGTGAAATCATAGCCACCTTGGGAGGCATTAGCATTTCACTCTGAGGAAGTTTTCAGTCGTAGTGTAAGTTTTTAGCTGTGTGAAAAGTTGTTTTCACACACTCATTTTCTTTTAAGAGTCAGTGAGAGAAGCTAGATAAAATTACCAGCCACAAGAAGGCAAATCCATGTGCATTGCTGATACTGACTATACTGAGGAATGCTTTTGCTTTTCAAAAGCCATTGATCTCAGCCCCGGCAAAGCAGCAGATTTCACACTATTTGTCTCAAATGTTTCATGCATTTTTTTAAAAGTGCAAACATTTTGTAGATTTTGGTTTGTAGCCACAAGTTCTTTTCAGTCAGTTGAACCGATAAAGTGATGATTGATTTGACATTGCATTTATTTAGATTTTTCAGTGCTCAGAATTGCTTTACATTCAGTTTCCTACTTTTACCTCTCTGCATGAACAGTGAAGAAAGTTGCGAAAGACTCGATGCGACCAAAGACATTTTATTTAAGGCTCCCTGAAAATGTTTTAAGTGTAATCTTTTTGGGATTCCAGAGTCTAAAAAGTCATAGTTTAACTGGAATATCACAGTGGACTTGGGAGGGCACCTTACCTGCAACTTCTGAGTGTGTGACAGAGAGCCTAGAAAAATCCCCACACTCTGTCTTGGGGTGTTTTATATTACCTACCTTATCTTTCTCCTCTAGATTATGTTATAAACACAATATGAATATTTCTAACTTTTCAATTATGTAGAAAAAGGAAAGAAATCTTGAAACCCTAAGATAGAAAGGAGACAACATGAGACAGATATTGTAGTATGTACTCTGAGATGAGAGCCCTCACTGGTCTTGTAAGGATGTCCTAGTTATTGGGATGATTGTACTCTCATTTTTGAATAGTACTAAGACTCAGAATTGGAAATTTTACTTTGCAGACCTGTCTAAAACTTTCTAAAGTTATTTCTCCCAGTCTTTCCAGGAACTATTGATACAATTTATGATACAGTCATATGCTGTTTTCTTTAGCATGTGAATGTTTGGATCTCCACAATTTGTTTGTAGACGCAGTTCTAATTGTGTCCTTTATCTGATAACAGAGAACTGTGTTGTTCCTGGGTAGTCGAGCTTTTCTCCAAACCATGGTCATTCTGCTGTTTCTCTCTTATGCCATCCAACATGCCTCTACTTTCTATCATGTGGTTGACACCTGTGCTTCTTTTATGAAAGGGACAGATCAGGGCAAATGCTGTGCATTTAGGTGTGTGTAGTGTCATGGAAAGACATTATCTAACAACAGGCCAGGAAAAGCCTGCTTTTCCTATTGCACTTGAAATTTCAGTATGAATGGATTTCTTCAAAGACTCATCTGGGTCTCGTTCAAATTAGTAGTCCAGAGGACAGGTCTGTTTCCTTCACAGTACGGCATCTTCAGTCCAGAACTGCGGGAGAAAGGCTAATGCTGATGCCCTCTATGGATAAACAAAGGAAATTCCCGGAACCATTGGGCTTTTTATGCCTCTCCTTAAATTGCACCTCTGTACTTAGCAGCATCCAAAGGGAAACATACTGTGCAGAATGTTTCGGTGCTCTGAGCCACTCAGAATGCTAGAAGGAGGAACAAGAAGCCATATGCCAGCCTAAGTAGAAAGTTCAGAAAAGGGCCCTTGTGTTTTGTGAAGTAATTACATCAGAGGTAACATTTTGCTTAACTTGAATAGCCACGGAAACTAAAGTACACTTAAGAGAGATAAATCCACATTTCATTGAGAAACATGTGGTGAAGTAGTTCTCTGTGATACCATTAAGTGTGCATTATTTATTCTTATAAAGCCTGCAGAAAACTACCTCCATTTTCAGCTTATGAGCATATCCTGCTAAATTCTGAGCCACAGGAAACAGTATGGATGGATGGAGTACAGCCTGGCACATGGGAGAGTTATTAGAGAAATGGGTGCTGTGTCACACAGTGCTCTAGCTGCAAGATCAAATGAGTGATGCCACTCAGGGCCAGTCACCAAATACGGGACTAGTGATGTACACACTGGAAACTGTACCCCAGACTGGCCTTTGGCAGACAATCTCCAAGGGAAAGGGTTGCTGTGTTTCTCCGGTGACAGTTATATTGCACATGTCAGTATGGTGCCTCACTTGTAGTTATGCCTATCAAGCATTCATTGCCCCACAGTCAGCAAGCAGGATGCTAAAATAGGTGGTATCTACTGCTTGGTCAGAAAAATGGCTGCAGAAAAGATAAAAGTAATATCCATTCCTGGAAAAATATCGGTATTCTCAACCGAAGAAGTGAGTCCTCTCAAAACAAGTCTTAAGTATTTCCTCTGCATGTGGTTGAGATTTTGATAGTGATTATGAGCCGTGCTTCCCCTGGGACAATTCTTATTGCTTCAAGTTAAACCCCATGATGCTTGTATTTAACTTCCAGCTAGCCTGGGTGACTGTGCTAGGACCAGAGGCTTGTTTTCCTGTTGTATCACACAAACATGAGCTGGGTGCACAGCTCAGAATCTTGATGTAAAAGAGAAAAAAAGCCCTTTATGAATGCTGTATGTGGGGGGAAAAGTCTATTTTTCCCTATAACATTGTGGCTTTTTTTCCCCTGGCTTAACAAAAATCATGATGATACTCTCAAGAGTGAGCCTTTTCAAGATCACTTATCTGTGAACTATTAGGAGAGGGTTGAAAGCTGGGTCAGTGTTAGGAAATAGCACTTGTCTGTTTTTCTTTTCCTTCTTCTGAGCTTTGTCCAAAAGCATGTGTTAGAAATTTTTCTGGTTTTGAATTGCTATCCAGTTTGGCTTGATTAGAATTTATGGCCATGGAGTCATTTTCAATGACAAAAGGATAACGGACTAAATTGTCTGCCACCCCTTGAGACAGTGGTCTCTGCAGGTCAGCAGGGAGGTCACTGCAGGGCATCGTGGGGGCTGCTCTTCGGCAAGGCTGTTTCTTGCCTGTGTGTGCAAGTGGAGGCCTTCGTTATGGGGTCGCTGCCTTCATTACTTTATTTAAACGTCTCTCTCAAGGTTTCAATACCTTAGATGCTTATAATACTCTGATAAAATATGCTGGAGCCAGTAATCAGCACATAGGGCTTAAACCCCAGAGGGAGTTAGCTGGAAAATGATGAGAAAAATTCTCTAGAGAAATATATTCATTTAAAATATGGAACATGCTTCTACATTTTTAAAACTTGTTACGCTATATCAAGTGAAAAATCCATGTTATTTTTCACTAATAAAAGTATATTTTGATAAAAATTAAAAGATAGTGTCTTTAAATCAACTAAATAATTTAAACAATATATTCTATGCAACAGCCACTAGATAGAAATCAATAGAAATCTGTACTTATATAAGTAAACGGGATGCAGGATAAAGTGTTTGTCACAGTTTCTGGTTTAACAGTCAAGCAGGTCTTTGCCCTGCTTCCTCTGACTAGCATAGAAAGGAAATGCATGCTTAAATATTTTTCTTACACTTGAGAAAATCTAATTCACTGAAGTAATTATTTTAAAAAGTCATTGAGAGGCTATGTGCATTTAGACAACTTTAGTTTAGAGGTAATTTTCCTACCAGAATACCATTGCGACATCTCATTGTAAACAAATCCACTTTAAGTAGAATTAATATACAGCCTTTGAAGT